AGCATTACCTCGAATAAATTACGAGGCCCTCCTTCTAGCGCCAAACTGTTGATATGCGAATTTGTATCAACATGGGGTGTTCAGAATATTGTGCTCGTATTGAATATCTGGAAATTTTGTATGATTTGCTTTTGAATTTTTGTGTAAAAATTGATGAAGAAATTGAAGGAAAAAGAAAAGAGCATCCCCTCTCTCAGGGAAAGAAAAACGAAGAATCATAATAATAGCCCCTCAGACTTATCTATCTGACGTCCATCATTGGGGTTTATATATATATATTTTTTGTGGGCCCGTTATTATTACAAGCGGTGTTCATTGATATGATATATATTCATGTGTAATATTTTAATAGGCGAGGCCAAAATTGGGTATTAACAGGCTGTACCCATTTCTGACTCAACAGACCCGACCTATGTGTGTCATTTCAAGATTACGCGGGTCCTTATAGGAGGGGTATATGAGCTCGGGGCTGAGCACGGGAAGCCATTGCCCCGGGCATGGAACGTAGTTCACTTGAAGAAATATTATGTCTAGATTAGTTATGCCGATTTTTTCATGATTATGTTTAAGTTGTTTGAATTTTTGCAAAGTATTTTAGCAAGAAGCGCTTATTTTACTTTGTTTCATGCCCGTTTAACCCACTTACCATGTTACTTCATTGTTTATTTTTCCTCGCTTGTTAACCCGCTACCTTCTTGTTTCAACAAACGTCTATTTTGATTTCTCCATTATGTGCTACAAGTTATCTTTGCCCGTTATGATAAACTAGAGACCTTCAAGGCGAGGTTGGACGGGGTGGTTTTCACCAAGTCGTTCTGATAAACTAGAAATCTTGGGAGCTAGGTCAAGGTCTTTTTATTCGATCTGTTGTGATCGATCTGAAGTCTTTAGGACTAGGTCAGGCGGGATGGTTTTCTTCAAGACGTTGTAATGGACGTGAATCCGTTAGAGCTAGGACAAACGGGCAGTTTTATAGGATCCGCCTGAAGCCTTCGTGGCTAAGTCGGGTAAAGTACGACCTACATGTCCTTGTTAATTACAGACTATATATCATCGTCATGATTTTAACTCAAGTTTTATAAGGTTGCTTGATTGATTTAGGGATTTTGCGTAATAGGTCATGGTAAGCGATTTTGATTACTTTAAGAAGCAACTTATGATCGGTTGTTTAATCTCATACTTTCACTTAGTAGGTTGTGGTCGACAATATCAACTATGTGATACAACAACATATGTAAAGACGAGTAGAAGTACGATGGTGAAATATAACAATGAGTCGATCGAAATAGAAATTAGATTTTAGTAATCAACTATTTCTACATGGCTAACAAAACATAAAAAAGCAACATAACAGAAGTGATAGCGAATGACATGCAACCTTATTCTTGCGGCGTCGATGGATCAACCTATTTTTGGGAAGCCAGGGCTTGCGGTGTCGGCAACTCGAGTTGTCCCTCCAGCCCAACTTCTTTCACGGCCAACTCGAGGGCGGGTTCACACCATATGTGGTCCTTGGGTAAATCGGGGTTGTCGCCGAAGCCATCAGGGGGTATAGGTGATCGTTGTGTCGTCAAAGGTCTTCGAGAACCGTTGGGTCGTCTGCTCATTGGTGCGCTTCATGGTGATCTCCATGAATTGTGTGGCTGTAGGGACAAGCCAGAACAAGAACGAGACAGAGTTCTTGAACAACTTCATCATCTCATCTCAATAATCCCCAAGGAAATCTGACCAGCCTCCAAGGTCAGGAAGCTCACCAGCCCTCCCAGTGAGCCTGCTGCTTACACGCAACCTAAGACATTTTTAGATCGTTCTCCTTCACTTAAGCCTTGAGCTTCAAGTTTGCATTAGTCAGATCGAGCTTCAGATTCTTCTCCTGAACAATGGTGGTCTTCTACAAGAAGTTGTGTTTTCACTACAACTCGGCCATGTCATCATTCTTTTGTTAGATGACCTCCCGCGCCTGGGAGTTCTTGACCTGGAGCTTCACCAAATCCTATCGAGTTTTTTCTAGCTCGTCGGCGGCACCCTTATTCATGCCTTCCAGAATTATAGGGGCGACAACGTAAACGAGTAGCTAGTAAAGAACCAAGTTAGTCACAATTACATTATTTGTGAATAAAAGAATAATGGTGAGATTAGTGTACCTGGGGGAGCTTCAGTGCGGCATAACGAGCTCGCACGTGAACTTTTCCCTTAAACTGCTTCACATCGGCCTCAGGTACGATGGAGTTAAGCTAATGTGTCAGTTGTTACGAGTCCGTGTGGGTGGTGAAATCCTCTGTGCTAGAGCCCTCGAAGGTGGGAGGAACTCCAGACCGATTCGACCTATTGGGTCTCGATTGGGCATCAGGTCACATGTATTTTGGTATGTTAGGGCGCAGGGTTTCAACGGGATGGTTTCTCTGGTGCGCGATTCAATCGTGCCAGATGAAACATGTCGCTTAGCCTCGAGCCTCCCATTGATCGAACTTTTTTGGTGGCCTTCGAGCCACCAATGACCATTTTCCCTTGCAAGTTCAAGGTTGAGGCAGAGCGACAAATGATTTTATCTGCAACGAAATGTATGGGTTAAAAGCTCATTCACAGTAGTTATATTAAAGAATACAATGTTCGTATTGTTAGTACCTAGGTCGTCGGCAGGGGTGTGTCCACCGAGGTTGTGTCAAAGGAGACCTGACTCCACTAATCGACTAGATAGTCCCGATGCGAGTTAGGGCATTTTTTTTTTTTTACCGGAAAGGTCGCGCACCCACTCGGTTAATAAGTTTAGCTTGCCAGGTGGGGGTTGGATGTAGATAAAAGCGGGTTTTCTATGTAGAGATGTTGAAAGAAAGGTCATTGAGGAGGTAGTGAGACCCCTTCTGCATCTTCATGGCATAACAATAGAAGAAGAGGTTGGGCTCGAGTTCACCCAGCCAGACGTGACCGAAGATGGTGAAGCAAACCGTCAAATGGATCACGTTCGAAAAACTGGTTTACCGAAAGACGATAAAGTTCACTCAGAAAAGTTAGGCCGAGTTGGATAAAGAAACGCATGCCATAGTGGATTTGGTCCTAGAAGAAAGTATAAAAGTCGTAGGGAGGTAGTTCGAAGGACTATATCAATTTGGGGATAACGAGCTCCCATGTAAGAGGAAGCTCACAGAAAATTTTAAAGGTACTAATTTTCCTAGAGTTCGCACAAGAAAAGGATTCAGTCAAGTAACACGACCATAGTAGGCTTTCCCATGATAGTTAGTTGTGGGGACGAACTGCAGGAGAGCGCATGAGGTCGAGTTGGGCTTTTGTGCTCGGAAGAGGTCTTTGGGCGTGTTTTAATTTGGTTTTCCAGCTCGGGCCAACTGACTTCGCCCTTGGGCTCATCAACTAACTCGAAAGGATCCGTTTCGGCTTGAGGTTCAAGGGAAGGTCAATTTTAGCAACAAAGGAGGTAGAGCTATCAGAGAGTTTGTTTTGTTTATGCTCCGATCGGAGTACGAGTTGTGAGACATGTTTTTTGAGGTAGAAATGGAAAATAGAAGATGGCAAAATGAAGCTTGCATGGAGTCGAGGAAGAACAGACGACGGGAGAGAGATCGTAGAAAAACAATTTTAAAATAGAAACTTAGAAAAACATACCCATATCTCATTGCATGTAGAGCTCGAGGTGGTTGGTTCGAACAAGAAATGAGGTAAGTACATTGGAATATTTAGTGCACTGTTGATTAAGTTTGTGGAGAGTGAAAAAATGACGAAAAATAAGGGAGGAGACCTATTTATAGAGCTGAAATGACTAGGTCAAAAGGTCGAAGATTTCGACGTTATTTGATCAAGGGGGTTATTTCCAAAGATAGATGGTAAATATGACACCTCAGTATACGAAGCACCGCAGGTACTCAGGTATGTTGCCTCAGTATGCGAAGCTGCATGGGTACTTGAGTGTACCTTTTGACGATGTGTGTCAGACTTCCCTGCATTTAATGCTCGTCGGATTTGCTTCTAGGTATTTATGAACACACGTGTTAGAGCTCGTGTGTTCATAAATAAAGAGTAGTTGATATAGCATATAAGAGCTCAATCCTTAACCGGGGGTCGTTATGCAGCTCAGTCTTGGACCGAGCCAACAAAGCTCGACTTAGAGGTGGTAGGTCGAGTAGGCCAAGGTAGGTTTCCTGATAGCATTAGGTCAAGTTATCGATCTATGATCCAGATGACCTGAGACCTCAATAATCGAGTTGGTATAAAACATGTCTAGTTCCAAAAGATGACTTCAGGTCAATCTAGTAGAAATTAACTGTGTAGCGTCGAATGAAGTTAGGATTATTAGGATCCTAAGACAATGTATGGAAGGAGAACTATTACAAGAAGGTATGTGTATATTTGGTTCCCTTGAGGAGATATAACTCTGGACAACAAGGTAATAGTTTATATATATATATATAAATGTAGAGATGGGGTGATTGTTACATTACGTTCTGTTCTATTGATTATTCTTACACATTACATACGAGAGACTGACTTGATCGTTGGAGGCTCTACGTCGAGAACTCTACCGACACTTTTCAAGTACTCGGATGAAAAGGTCAGTCAAGATTTAGAGATCCAAACACGGTCGGTCAATTTGAACAAGAGTTATTTAGTAGATCCTATCAACTACCAAAAGGTATACAAAAATACTGCAATTTGAAATCTTACACTCAATTGCTCTTGAATGAATACTTATCCAACATTAGTTACTTCAGTTTGAAGCTTATAGTCAACTACTCGTAAAAGAATACCTATCGCACAACTATTGAACAACGTTAGTACAATATAATCAAACTCCAAGCCACAGACACACCACCAACTAGCAGTAAGCACCAATTAGAAACCAAAATAATCAAGACCCTCCACTAGTGATTCATCATAGTGATGAATCATAAATCAACTAAACTGGAATATTTTGCATACCAAAATTCTTGTAGTTTTAATGCTATCAAAAAGATTAATGAATCACAAGCTATCATCTACGCAAGTGTCTTTTATAAATCGTATTTCTTGGGTTGTCGCCATTGAACATAACTTCTGGACAAAGATTTGAGTAAAGAATAGTTGCTTGGCAATGCTTTCTTCCCATACAAATGCTTCCCTCCTAAGTCTGTGTACTTAGGTCCCTTACCTTTGGTTCTTTCGATCTGCAAATCGCAACATCAATCAAATTTGCATGCTATTGTAGCAGAAATTCCAAACTATAACTAATTTTGTTCTCGCAGATCAAAATTCAGAAGGGATATCCCATGTATATGAGCATTCTTCAGAGGGGGTCAAATAAAATCTAAAGATTGTGTATCCATCATTTAACTCCTACATTTCATCTCCCAATCTCGATTCATTATTCTTTCTCTTCAGAATTTAAAGAATAACTTGAACATACAACAATGATTAACCAAGTAAAACAACATTGAAGTATATTTTGAAGCAACTAATGTACCATTGACATTTGGTTTTGGTCTTGTAAATTGCACCTCAAGTGGTGATTACAAACTCGAGCAAGTAGTTAATCCAGTAAGTTTGAAAAATAAGTCATAATTTTGTATGAAAGTAAACTACAATGGTAATTTTGTACTTGACATAATTTGTATACGCTATGTATTGTGATTTTAGGGTAGCAGTAAGGAATTGAATTAGACATCCATACCTTGCATATTTTCCCGTTCTTTAAATGGTATTTAATGCCAGACCAATCGATAGACTGAGAAAAGTGTGACCGAATAGCGGATATTGGATATAGAAAATTGTCAACCAACATAGCAATAAAGACCTGCTCAATTGAAAATCAACCAGTGATTTTTGTGGTAGCAAGTAATCTAGGATGAGAAGCATGCAAGTAAAAACGGATGAGCATAGAGAAAAGAAGCAAACTGACTTACCAGACACCAGTTATACGATGTAAGTGATAGAGGAGGAGCTTCTGGTGACAGCAGGTTGCATAACTGAACCTCTATCCTTGTCAGATTCCACATGGAGAAAAGCTCAACTGTTGTGCATAGAGCAAGGCAGGCAGACAAGAACAACCCTGAACAAGCAAGAGCAAAAATAATAAAACTAAAAACAATCAACTCGGAAATATATTGAATTTAAGCTGAACAAATTGCTCAGCTTTCTCAAGCTTGAGGCACTTCTGCCATAACATTAGAAAATTCTTCATATCAATTATGGTAACACATGATTGAGTTATTTTGCATAAAGTTGATTGAGTGGAGAAGTGATTGAGATTTTGAGTCTATTTAAATAATATTTAAAATATAATGATTAAAGTTGATGTGAAGTAAAATAATATTTAAAATATATAGTGATTGGAAGTGACGAGTAGTTAAAAATATATGAGTAACTAATAGTAAACTAAAGTCAATGTGATGTATACTGATAATACTAAGGAGAGTTAAATTGGATAAAATTGAGTTGAATTTTGAGTTAAAGAGTGTAAAAAAAAGTTATCCATTTAGTCAAAACCAAATAATTTCTGTAGCCAATCGGCCCCTAACCTTCACATGACATATTAACAAATAAGTGAGAGTTACCAGTAAATGGAAAAGCTGCTTCACTAGTAGAGGTCTGTTTAAAATAGAACCCAAGTGCTGCAGCCACATGAATCCCAGACATAAAATATGGCGCTACAAATCCCCATGACAAGTAGAAGTGGGTAAAGAATAGAGCTCGATTCATAATCCAATTGACTTTTGTCGTGTAGGATTCTAAAACAAATGTTTGCTTTCTCAAATAGTTCCAGTACCTACACAGAGGAATTCAGAGTTTGAGATATCCAACTGGAAGTAAAAAAACTAAGTGACTTTAGAACTTCTTTTATTTTCTGAAGCTACATGAACGACTCGAAATGGAAGTCAAGGTTCTAGCAACAATATAGAAACCTGGCAAAGTTCAGATCACTTGCGAGTGGATGAGGGAAAACAGCAGCTGGAGGTGACGTGATGAGCCTCTTATGAGCTCCTGTACGTCGATATATCACCAAATAAATAAATTCACTCAGCGACAGGTACAGTAAAAAGATGTAATGTTTTAGATTTTATACTACAATCCCCGTGATGAATGGAAAAGTTGGATATTATACTATGTACTATAAAGCTTGCGATTTCATTATAAATTCACTCAATGACTAAACATAATTACCGGCAATAGCTGCAAGAGTCATATCATCGGAGTAGCCTCCATCTCTAAGTTCTGAAACGACGCCGTGACGATCAGTTCTAAAGTCATTTGCATGCATCTGCAATTTAAGGAGTTCATATTAAAAATCATCAACATATGCCTATCTGCTTTTCACGACGCTTAAGATGCACATACCATCATGCATCCTCCCCATAAAAAGAATGTTTTTCCACCAGTGGCAAACCCCATCGAACAAGGCTGTAAATAAAGGTCCATTGTTAAGGTTACTATGGTGAAAGCAAAAAAAAAAAAAAAAAAAAAAAAAAAAAAAAAAAAAAAAAAAAAAAAAGTCAAAACAGCCAACAAGATCTGTATGTTGGGTGTTGATTGCTGACCCACCACTGTGTTTCTACAGTGAGCAGATCAAGAATACTAAAAAACTTGCATTGAATAAAAATCATGTTGGTCAAAAGTTTGTGTTGACATTTTATTTTATGTATGGTAATACTGCTTATTTTACATTGTAAATAATATGGTATGTAGTTTTACACAGGTGATCATAAATTGTTTCCTTATAAAGTACAAATATGGTTCACAACCGATCAACAATGGAAAAACTATCGGAATGATTTGAGTATAATTTGGTATTAGTTTGTTTGAATAATGAATTATACTTGTGCACTTTGTGTGTATTGATCAAGACAATGTGATGTAAGTTTGATTTGTACTGAGTTAATAAAAAAAGTAGACCTCAATTATTAAGAATGTTCATACTATTAATCTGGATATAATAACAGACACGTATATTCAATACAAATTTCTTTGACTAATCAATTAACGAGATTTATTAAGTCAACCAGCACAGTGGATTGAGAAGTAATATTGTTTCTATGGTGTGTTATTGATTATACAAGGACTTCGTCCCCTTGAAAGGTTGATTATGTTCATATAATGAGCTCATAAGATTTATTATGTAAACCTGAAGATGAATATTATCAGAATTCAGACGTAATAATAAAATTGAGTGACATTTAGTTTCTGAGTAAAAGATGTTAATTAACTAAATTGTGAATAATTTGATTAATTACACATATAATAAATAAAGCTAATGGGTAATTTGAGTTTAGGAAGGTAGTGGAATACTAACTCTTTAATGACTGAGTAATTAATGATAAACTAAGGTATAGAATTTGGTCTAGAGTTCATCACGAGTGAGTTATCATGATGAACCACAAAATCAATTAAGTGCGTAGAACTCTTAGTCAAGAGCTAAGGACTTCAGATAAATTTTTGCGGAATGCACTCTAAGGATTACACGGTCATTTAAAACCACAGACGTTATGCATAGCATAACTGCATTATATAACCTAAGCTCTTTCTATAAGATTTTAATCACCAGATTTACCCATACCCCAAATTACAACTCTTTTGTGTAACTCGAAGACAGAGCTTTCATCATAGAGAACACTCGTCAATTTGTTTACCCATGCATCACCCGTAAATATTGTGTGTATCTGTGCTTAAGGTGCTGAAAGTCATTCTACGGAAGCTGGATTTGGGCAAAGCAAACAGTAAACCATGAATGGCTAAGCCACACACTTGTTAATGTCGATATAAAGCAAACTCTTGACATTTCCCTTCACCTTCCCCTCTTAGGTTCTTACTTCAAGAACTAACATATCACTCAAACACCAATCTTGTTTCTGTACTTACAGAGCATAGTCTTAAAAGTACTAGCGAAGGAGGAGATCGGTAGCAGCAAATTAGTCATCAATAGAAAGCGTACCATGTGATATTCATATATGCAGTAACTTCCTAAACTTCCAGATGGTAAATCAAGAGGGTATCCTGTTTGAATAAATATCTGCACATAATTCCAGCAAGCAATTGAAAATTGCATGAACCAAACAAATAAATGATTTTAAGCTTTACGCGGAATAAACAATGTGGAAACGTGTAAATGTAAGCGTACATCAGGGTTCTTTTCCATTTCAGAGGTGAGAGATCCAATTGAACCAGGGTGCAACCTAACATCATCATCTAGAAATAACACATACTTGCTATCTTTGTGCATTTTCTCTACACCGACCTGCAAAAGTACAATCAGTGCATCAAATGCAATCCCTTAAGCACAACTGATATCAATTAATGAGGACATGAATAGCAACATAATTAATTCTCTTAAAAATAAGTTTCACCAGAAAATCGGCCAAATATATCTTCAGAACATATATTACTGCAATCCATCTCAACATAGGTCTGGTTTGTTTTTTCGGGAAAGACCAAATATCTTATACAAATTATTTTGTTTAAATTTTCATAATAAGTTCCAGTCAAAAAAACAAAAAAAAAAAAAAAGTTTCATAATAAGAATGGAGCCAGGAATTTCTTGAAAGAGATTGCTCAGAGAATATTTCATAAAATAAGCTTGTTTTAAAATTGTGCATGTCTACCAGTCTCTGGGGCATTAACAGCATTAACTATATTAAGCTATGACAAACCAACCAAATTGAAAAACATTTGAGATATTGTTACCAACTGGTTATGAATCTTCTGACTACAGGATGTTGATGGACCAGCAACTACAATTTTGGCATCAACGTCATCCTGTGTAATTGTAAGTTTGCATAAGAAGACAAATTTTCTATTATAATGATTTTTAAGAATAAACATATCTATAACAGAAAATGCTTGAATAAAGATTATGGTATAGCACAACATGAGAGAGAGAGAGAGAGAGTTAAAAATGAGCAACAAAACAACAGGGAAATTATAGAGAATTAAATATAGTTAACTAGAGTTGAAGTTTTAGATAGCATAGAGAATTAACCATGCAAAATATGCGTAAGCAGGCCGGATATTATGGGTTGTACACAGGACAACCACAAACGTAGTGACAGCATGATAGACCAACTAAACAAAAACAATTTTCAACTGCCGCAACAATTTAATTGGTGAACATATTCATAAAATAAAGAGGAATATATAAAAATAAAACATCGATCTTAATTAAAATATTACTGAAGGAGATTGCATACATACCTCATAGTCATTCAATAAATGTTTTACGGCGTGATAAGCAGGATCTTCTTTACTATCGACCACAAAAAGAAATTCCAAGGGACCACCATATAAAGATGTAATCTGAAATTTATCATTGACCAAATCGTAATTAAAAGCTTTCCTCATTTATACATCTGTTGATGATGTAATAATGCACAAAAAATTGTGCCAATCAGAAAGAAATGATAGAAATGTGAAACTTTTCAAGGACACTATCACGTGACAGTGTAGTAATGTTGTAAGATAACGTTTTCGAAATTCCACTGAGTAGCTATTGTTTGAGAAACCACCCTAGTCATTATAGGGGAGTAAATCTCACAAACTATGTTATATGATATCACCTACTCGCCTGAAATATAACAAAGCATAAAATAATTCCTAAATTAAACTTGACTAGTAAAACTTTACAGATACTCACCTGAGTTCTCCAGTTGTGCAGATTGTGTTCCCCAAAACCCTTCAAAGGCATTACAACAGAAACTCTAGGCAAATTGACCTGACTAGAATGCTCGAGCTCATTGATATCATGACAAATAAAAGCAAAGTTGTTGCCATGTTTTATGCTTTCCTTGATCCTGTGTATCTCTTTTCTCCTGTCACAACAAAATTGATAATTAAAACCTTAAACGGTGAAAAACACAGTAAGATCAAAAGCAGAAAAAAAAAAACCAATGTAAATATCGGCTTATTGCTAGATTGTAGAAGATCAAAATGTGTACCTAACAAGAGAAGCCAAGGCCCAGCCAAGAGCAAGAATCAAGCAAATGAAAAATCCCTATAGCATGAACAGTATCATAACATTATCTCATTTTAGCAATGCTGCTTATATGCAAATAAAATACGACTAAAATATATCATCAAAGAGCATAAAGAACATAAGGCTACATACTTAGAATATCAAAATGCATTTGGACATACCAGGTGAACAAAGTTAAAGTTTCTTTTATATTCGTTTTCAGTTATTAAGGTTTAACAACATAAAAATTCCACTAAATACACATTACAAAGGGGATGGAGTAGCATTTCAAGTTGGAACTATACCAACCAAGTTCACACAAGCAGAATTCCTGATCCTTAATGATATGATTAGTTAACTTGGCTAACCAAAATTTACACTACGATTGACAAAAGCATTCAAGCATCATTGCAATATAAAATTAGAAAATACACCTTTACCCTGGACAAAAATTAATAAAGAATCAATCAAAAACCAGAAAAGCAAAAAAATAAAGAAAACTAATAAATTAAGAATGCATGATTGATACTGATTCCAAGACTCTCTAGATTTATCAAAAAGTTAAAAATTCCTTCGCTAAACGTCAATTTTCCAGTCTTGTAGCTGCCATGCCAAATAAAGATCTCTAAAAGGCGCCAAACAATAACAACAAAAATCGAACAGTGTTTAAGCAAATAGTAACGACAAACCAAATATATGAAGAGCAATGTTGTCAATAAGTTGTCATTAGCTAAAAACAAAATGGCAATTAAGAATTAAATAGCCTGAGCATCCTTTTGGATGGACTTAAATTACAACTTATCCATTAGAAATGAAATGTACAAAACGCTACCTAACTTGAGCTCACAACATCAATACAACAGTATAATAAAACCAGTGCATTTTCCCTAGAATACGAAACATAATCTCCGCAATCAAACATCGTCTGTCTAACATAATCTCAACAACCAAACATCATTTTATACACAGTTTCCAAAAGATATGGTAAGAATCAAGACAGTAACCTGTGCATTTTACCTAGAATACGAAACATAATCTCCACAATCAAACATTGTTTGTTTACACATAATCTCAACAACCAACCATCAATTATACACAGTTTCTAAGACATATGGTAAGAATCAAGATTGCCTTCATCCTAAACTTCACCGGTGGAACAATTGCCTTAGTGTGGTTCTATAATCAAATTAAACACACACACACACACACACATGGAGAGACGAAGGAATTCGCACTTGGATTTGAACAAAGAGCGCCATACGACCGCAACAAGCTTCCGAAGCGGCAAACAGAAATGCCTCAAACGAATCGATCGACGGCATTTTCCCTATAGATTTTTGTACCATGGATAAAGGTAATGCGATAATCAAAACCGATCGACGAGTAGAATGCAGTTGGGGCAACAAAGTCGAGCGACCATACGGATATACATACACACGAGCGCGCAAATCCTACAATCAACGTCAGGTAGCCATGGGCGAAAAGATAGAATAAGAGAGAAAGAGAGGAAAAAATGGGGGAAATGGGAGAGACCGCGTAAGTTTATATTTTCAAGTGTCCTGGTTTGGAGAGAGAAAGAGAGAGACGTAATCTATTTAATAAAACCTATTAAATTATATCGATGTGTCAATCTAATTTTATCCCTCCAAAAACCATTACTTTTTATATATTAACACACTAATTACTTCAAAATTACTAATATTATTTTAAATTTTTCATTTACTTACAACTGATCATATAATGTATTGACTATTTAATGTGATTGTTGACTTATAGTGGTTGGTTCTTGCCTTGTAGCGAGTTGGGAGGCCTACTGTCCGAATCCGAACCAGCTGCAACGGAATGTTATTATTGTGGTTACATTTAAATTAACTTTTGTTGGAAAATAAAAAATGTATTTGAAATTCCTAAATAAATAATAAATAATTTCACAAAAAAAAATACATATCAAAATATACATTAAATCCAATATGATAAACACAATTTAAAAAAAATAAATATTTCAGCTCATTTAATTGTAAATTTAGCAAAAATCATTAATCATTATATGAATACAAATAACTCACAATAATTTTTTATATATTTGTGTAAAAGCACAAGTCGAATACTAATAATAATAATAATAATAATAATAATAATAATAATTGTGAGAAAAAATGAAAATATAATAAAAAATGGTGAGAATTTTTTGAAAAGGAAGGCGTAGCAGCATTCATTCGTGGACATAGTTGATTTGAATTTATATAGGAGCTGGCGCCGTTCACTGTGGACATGGCCGCCGAAATATTTGGATGGATTGACATTTTTGTTATATTTGTGAAGCCTCTCTCTTTTTGTGGGAAATGCTATGATGGCGTTACCAATAGGGCTGCAAAAGAATCGAACTGAGTCGAGCATCGGTCTTATCGAGCAGGATTGTCTTCTTTTTTAGCTGCTCGAGCTCCACTCAATAAAAAATTACAACATCTCGAGCTCGACTCGAAATCAAAATGCTCGAGCTCGGCTCGAAAATTTTTAAGTGGAAAGGTAAAATTATTATTAAGGACCAATGCTAACATATATATAAGGGGTGTTTTAGTAATTTAACTTGTATCTCGAGCGCTCGCAAGCCGCTCAGTTCGTTTGCAGCCCTAATTACAGAACCATTTCGTCGAGTTTGTAACAGTTAGATCTATCATGTAACCGTCGGGATAGTTGATCTAACGGTTACAAACCCAACGGAATGATTCTGTAACGAGACCGTAGCATTTACTTTTTTTTTTTTTAACCCATGTTGCCTAAATGTTCGTATATACGTGTGTTGAAAAAAATAAAGAAATTAATAAATAAATAACAAACGAATTTAGTAGTACTGTTTTATTTTCTAAATATATTCGTGCGATTTATTGATACAGTTGTGAGAAGCAAATTGATAAATTTGTTGTTCAGCTCATATTTCAGCAAAAATCATTTGGCAAGACCTATAGACATTGATTATCCAATTTGGTCTAATTATTTCACCGTAAATAATGAGTCGATTAACCTACCAATCTACACGGGAGTAGACATGGTCATGGGCCGCGCGACACAAACCCGACAGGGATCTAACCCTGCCTTGTCAAGCCCCTCGACAACGTGTATGGGCTCAACTCGGATTTTAACTGGACAGTTCTGTTTGTTTTTTCGACCCTGACCCAACTCACTTATTGAATCAACAAATATTTTGTAAATAAGGCATATGTGTTTATAGAAATTGAACGCAGATCTCATTTATTGTCAGTAAAACAGAAATAACAAGCTAGTTGAAAACAAAAACAACATCATATCATTTGCTGCTCGATATCATTCATCAATTATGGTGATGAAAAGTTACATATCATCAGGACCCTTATATACAAACAATAGAGCATTCTAAATCCTACTGTAGGTGGCATAATCTTACTGGATAAAAATAGGAACACATGAATGGATGATAAGCATTATAAAATGGGTTGAAAAAGGACTAAGCTAGAAGACAACCAAGCTAGAAGACAATGGCCATAACAAACTTGTGTCCTAGTGTGCCAGCTCTACATTTGCTTGCATGTGGACTCTCGTGTGGGTTCTCGTGGTGTGTAATAAGATAGGAAACATGTTGATTCATTCCTTTATCATTCATAAGGAATTATGTCTTATTATATATGTTAGAATTTTGGTGTAAAATTACACGGGAATCCTACTGATATGTATTTTCAGTTCTTACAAATAATCTAAAAATAGAAAATTACAATTGAACTGAAAAATAAAATACAACTGAAAAGCGGAATGATTTTAGCCGAGGCGAGTAAAAAACTCTTTCCGCAAGAAGAATACGCCCCGTGTGTCGGCTAACGGTTCAGGCGTAACTTCCCCAAAGATACAATGGCAAACGTCTCTAAATCTGTAGCACACCAGATTTACGAGCTCCGGTGAACAAGAACGGAGTCGAGAATTGAGCACTAAAAAATAAAAGGAATATCTTAAAACAAATAAAAATATCACTTGTTTCTCTCTTTTGATATTTTTATATCCGATATTTGGACATAAATCTATCTTTTCTTTCCTTTCTCTTTCTTTCCTCTATTTTTTCTCTTCTTCTTTGGTGCTTTTTTCTTCTCTGCCGAGTATGCCTATTTATAGGCAAAGTAGATGCTTACAAATTCAATTATTACTCCACACATAATTAATCATGTGCTGATGGAATCCTCCTACACGCAAATTGAGCTATAAGATGCCATTTGCTTTAATAATTTACAATGCAAATTGAGCTGTAAGATGCCATTTGCTTTAATAATTTACAATGGTGGAACCCACACATTTAATTAAACTCAATAATAGTTACAATATATTCCTCAAGGAATGGAGTTTTTTTTTTTTAATTATTAAGATCTCACATCTACCAAAATCACACACATATACATATGTGTATATTAACTTGGATACACAAGCAACAATATTGATTAGCCGATTTTCAGACTACTTTAGTTTATAACTTACAAGACATCTTCGAATTCGAGCCAAGTTATCGCCAAACCAAAATAACATTGATGTCACATCATCTAGCCCTCCTCTAGACGAGCTTACCTTATTATGACCATCTAAGATTACAATTCAAATAACATGCTCTTCTTTATTTGTAAACAAGTGATCAGGAGATCTCAGGTGAATGTGTTGCATAAAATCACTTCAATTGCTAAATGTACATCTCAGTACTCTAACTTTGGATCAATCTCCTGATCAACCACGAGGTACACATGTTAGATGAGGTGAAATCAAATTCTATGTGGGTATACCAATCTTAGGTGCTACTTGAGTTTCTCATCAGCCTAAGAATGTCATTGTTTTCAAGTGCTTGATTTGAGTTGAGCCATCTGTTAGGTTCTGTTAAAAATATCGGATTCTAGGTTTGTTTGAAGAATTAGGATTGTAACCGTATTGTTTAATATTTTTATTGCTAACTTAGAGATGATACACAGTCAACGGAATTGGAGAATTAGCCACTTAACCTCGGGATCATCTGTTGTTGTGTTCTGATCATCAAACCTAAACATCGTGTGGATGTCGAACTGACATATATTTTGCTATTCCAGAACTCGCGTACACTTTGATTTAGGAAGAAAGAGAAAGACCCTCCAATTTATTTCTTAGGAGATCTAGGAAACATAGTATTTTTCTCTCTTTCCAAACATGACACTTTTCTTTCCTTCAAAAATAGAACTCACGTTGGCATGAATTTATCCAAGAGAATCGTGGTTGTGATTATGAGCACCAGTTGGTGTACTTATAGACTACAATAGGGGTCCTAAAAAGATTTTTGAGTAGGTCTCCTAACAAGATTAGGTCTATTGGATTCTAATCAACCCTACACCTTAGCCCATCAATAATAAATTAGTCCCTAAAGATTTATTATTGAATTTCATATCTAACTTCAAACTATATTTGGTTCCAAATTTATCTACTCGATTTATTCACCATGTTCAAGATCACTGTTTGTTATGTTTTTGTGGTATTTTATTGTGTTTTATGTGCTTTTGCGAGCCGTTTTTAGGTTCGTTTTAGTGTCAACTAGTCCATTTTATCATATTTTATGTGTTTTCGTTCTCGTTATGTGTTTTTGTATTTCGTCGTATTTTCTTGCATATTTTGGTCACATTGTTCGAGTCAGGATGACGATCCATTTTATTCGAGACATTTTCGAGCCATGTCTGAACCTTATCCAAGCCATCTGGACCACTTACTGGCCATCCCGAGCCACTTCTGAGACGCGAGTCACACCCGAAGGCAGCGCGACACTCGCTACGGAAACGAGATCGCGACCAGCGTGATCTGCACACAAGGCAACCTGGGCCGAACTCGCTGCGAAAGTACTTTGGCGACCAGCGATATGGCATTCTGCAGCAGCCTTGGCCCGAACACGCTGTAAAATTTCTTAGGGGACCCGCAAAACGCCCGAACTGCACCACTCAACGCCCAAACTCGCTGCGAAACTAGTTTCGAGACCCTCGAATTGCAGAATTTCACTAAATGTGTGTGTTTTAGTGTGTATTTGTGGTGTAGCTATATATAGACATCTTGCTTTGTAATTTTATGGATAACCCCCTCATTTCCCAACTTTTAAGTTGGGAAATTCTCTTTAATTTCTATCTTTTATTTTTGTGCTTTGATTTGGAGGTCCATGACTATTTTTTCGCCGAAATTTTGGCAATTTTATTTTCATCAAATTTTCGAGCTTTATTTACTATTTCCGTCCAAGCATGCGATAGGAGAGTAGGTACCTTGCTTAGGCCTTACTACTTTGAGTTTGCCTTTCGAATTGTCTGTTTAT